TATGCATGGAGATACAATGTTTACAATTGTGCTTACACACTTTTGCTTATTTATGTATGTATATGTATATACATGTATTGTATATATGTATACATGTTTATGTATATATGAGCATGTGTCTAACATCACCACCACTACCACCATCGTGTACATATGTATACTGTATATGTGACTATAAGCTATAATAATGTCAATGTCTCAGCGATACTTAAAAATATATACATTATAACCTTAATTTTTAAAGAGGTGGACCGGTAAGCCAGAGGAAGGCCTCGGTCGGATGACCAAAAGCTCCACTCCGGGTTGCTGACCCTGCTGGGTACATCGCTTAGCTTTGATTATAATAATAATCCAGCTGCGGGTCTTAGTCATATGATGACCCGCAGCTGGAAACACTTGTCCTGTTTCCTGACAAACCTTACCTAACCTAACCTAAGATGCTTAAAATTATGAGGCTGAAGGTCTGTACTGCGCTCCCGTGGAAATAACTTTCGGGAGTGTTCTATATAAAAGTAATCAGAGAGCACCTGCACTTGTCAAGTGCTCTACGACCTTTCACTTTGTAATAGTTGACCAGGATTTAAAATTTGAAGTCTATCAGATAAGACGTTCTGAATTTATTAACGAAAACTTTAGGTGGGCCTATGAAACTGTAACAGGTGGATGGAGTGACGGGATTTATTGAGTGGGGGGATTTACTGATTCACGGGATTTACTGTGTGACGGGATTCATTGATTGACGGTAATTATTGACTGATGTAATTTATAGAGGAGAATAATTGACTCTGAAATTAATGGGACATTTTATTAAAAATGAAGTATTGCGAGAGGATTTAGTCGCTGAACGGATTAATTAGTTACCAGTTTTTTAACGGAGGAAAATTATGAGTGGAGAGGATTTATTGGTGTGTGTAATTAATGTTAAGTACACGAGGCTCGTAATGTTAATTTATCTCACCAGGGGAGGTAAATCTGCGGCTCTGACGCTCCAGCACACTCCAACCAGCTGACACTCAAGGGCTCTCCATCCAAAGAACTGGAGCTACCCTTACCTTCCTAGGATCAAATCTGATTACCTGCCATTTCCCGGGCACTGTACCGTGTCATCCCCTACAGATGTGAGGTTCTACAGCAGTGGGATGAGCCAGTAGGGTCACAGTTGATGCTGCTGATACAAACATGTCACACAAGTGCTCTTTATGAAATAATCTTATTGTAAGCTGCGTGGCTCACTAGTACAACGCTGGACCTGCTATATGCAACCACCATGGTTCCAGTCCCAGCCGTTCTTGTGGAAGTGATCATATTTGCTACATATATCACACATCAGAACATATTCATGTTAATCTGTGGGAATCGCTAAACCTGTAGGGGTCACATAGGGCCTGGGGAAAAGTAAGCATTTAGATTCGATCCAAGGAAGGGGAAGATATTTCCAGCTCCCTGGATCTAGAGCATCAAGGTACCTGTGTGTGTGGACGTATCAGCCTATTACTGGTCTTATACTAGTAATTTCTGTACCTCAGCTTAAGTATTTTAACTCTGAACTTTTTTATCAGGTGCAGAGTGACTGCTAGCAACAATATTCTCTTTTTTGTTCTCTCTGCTGGTGACCCATTAGTCAAACTGTTAGTGAAACACTGGCCAAATTATTGGTGAACGACTGGTCAAATTATTGAACTAATGGCCAAATTAATAGTAAGACACTGACCAACTTATTGTTCCAAGAAGCTGTGAGATTTATAGAACTTTGAAACCAGATCTCTCTCAGGAGTCATGCAAATAAAACAAGTAACACATATGAACACCCCAGATGAAAACAAATAATGGTAGCACGATCAAAAAGTACAAATATATGCTACCTGGCTAAGTTACAATGACATACATAAGTTAAAACCCCGTCTAACTTATCAGTGTTAACAATACTCTCCTAAAAGGTCCTTGAAGTTTCGATAAAAACAATTATATCCTGGAATCTACATGAATGATGTTCCGGGGGTCAACGCCCCCGCGGCCTGGTCCATGACCAGACCTTGCGGTGGATCAGTTATACGAACAAACATTGTAATGTGACAAATATCGAACAATTACTGTGAATATACCTTGTATACTATATGTATACAAGGTATATAGAAATGGAAGAAATTACAATAATCGCGTGATTGAAAATATATAAAAATACCCTAGTGAAAATAGGAAAAACACCTGAGCGCTTTTATGTTGCTTACACACCTGTCTTCCTCTGAAGATATTTGTGTAAGCACATTAAAGCGCTCAGGCGTTTTTCCTATTTTCACTGTGGTATTTTTATATCATATAGAAATAAAAATTGCATAATACTTAAAACAGAAAATTTAACTTACATATAGATGATCGATGGAGGCTCAGGACGCAGTGGTAGACCTACCTGGAAATAAAGCAGAAAAGAGTTTGTTAATGTCCTGTGTAAAGGCAGACAATACATGTTGCATCCTAATGAACTGGGGACAACTGCGAAAAAAGACACAGATTGCAGAATAAGCTGTTACTGAGACAGTGTGTTTCCCCTCAAGGAAGGTCACAAAGCCATTCCCCAGGCACTGTATAACCCCTAAACCCTTAGGGGTCGTACAATGCCTGGGGAATGTGGGGGAATGTCAAGTATATTAATTTCTCATTCCTTGGTTCAAGAGCCCTTGACCAGCATCCATAAACGTACGGCTACAAATCCTTTTTTTGGAGTCCACTCGTAAAACCGTTCTTACGACAAACAGCTGGATGAACGATGACATAAGCCAACAGTGAGAAAGACACATAATGTAACGTAATCAAATGATTGGTAAGTATGAGTAGGAAGATTGGTAATAGAATAATTAAATACACTGATATAGGTAGACAGAGAGGGATTATGAAGTGGAGTCATCCATCGACTTGTATTTGTAATAAGTAAGAGTATGTTTAAGAATGTTTTTACAAGTACGTGAAAAAATCGCGAAAGCGCTTAAAAAAAAAAACATACCTGCTCACAGACTCCCAGTGAAAACTGAAATACGTTCTACTGATGTACTGAAGGGTGAAAACAGATGAAAAAATGATATTTACTTGTGTTCATACAGTGTAACAGACGAATTTAAATCTTCCGGTCAGAACATGGTCAACAACCTTTTTCCACCACCACCATTCTCTATTGATATTTGAATGTTTACCATACGAGTTTCATATGACAGTGCATTCCAGTGTGTTGCGTATACAAAATTTTTTTTTATTTCCAAGAAAACAAGTTGATATATATAAAGAAATACTTCGGCATGACCAGGACTCGAACTCAGGCCACAAATCTCCATGCAAGCATGGGTGTATAGATCCGTGGATGCATTGATATTTGTACTGCTAAGGTTGGATAGAATGGAGGAGAAAAAAAATACCTGAGGACCGTACCGTGAATGTGCCTGACAATGGGGGAACTATGTCCAGTGGTCTCGCTGACAGCCCAGATTTATGAGGCACGGGGGTGTAATGAACTAAGGCACCAAATCTTTAATTCTCTGTTCACAAGGACAATTGGTGCCTGGGTTAGAATCTTGGTCATACGGTCGTATTTCTACGTACATCAAACAAATACCCATAAACCTTGCGCAGATGTACCTAATTGTTCTCATATTAGATCGCAAAGAAATTTTCACTAGTGAAAGTTATTGTTTCTAAATTAGTATCTTTTACTGTTTTACCATTTTGCCCAAATCTACAAAGTCTCTAAGGCAATTTGGCTGAAATCTGTTTGCCTTCCCTGCTGCCCAACAACGATCTACCCGACCATTACCTATACACAGTGTCATGACGCCTCCCTCTCAACCCAACTCCTTGAAAGAGCCAACCTACACATATTTCCAACGGTGATAACGAGAGGAATGCCACGTAAAACGTCAGTCACAGGTAACCAGTGCCACGTACAACCTGAGTCATACGTGACCAGAGGAGTGCCACATAAAACCTCAAACACAAATTACCAGGAGTGCCACGTACAATAGCCAGAGGCGACAAGTTAAGTGCCACATATTAAAACGAGCTACAAGTGACTAGGAGAGTGCCACGTCCAACACTCAGAATGGTGTAACATACAGCACATCACAAAGGTGGTGAGAACAGTGCTATACGCATCACAAGAGATGGTGAGAATAGTGCTATATACAAAACGTCACATCGGTGGTGAGAATAATGATATATACAAAACGTTACATCGGTGGTGAGAATAGTGCTATATACAAAACGTCACATCGGTGGTGAGAAAAGTGCTATGCACAACACATCACAGAGGTGGTGAGAACAGTGACGTACATAACAGTGCCAGTGCCTGCTTCTAAGACTCTGCGTAGTGTATTGCTGCCTCGTCTAGTTGTCTGTGTTAGTGTAACAGCTCCAGTTCCTTGGATGAAGAGCCAATGCTCAGCACAAAGGTACCTTTGGAAGAGTTAGTGAGCAGGTCACTTGATTGTGTATTCTCAGTGACCACAAACCATCTAGCTCTTTGTTCCTTTGTGTCACTCGCGTCATCTCTCATCAACTTTTACCACCTCACTGCACCTCTACCAGCACACTGCATACGCATGCTTACGGTTATCACAGATTTTTAACACTATATGACGCATCCTGTATGATGGAGTATGACAAGGAAACATAGCTAGCCTTTGTTCCCACCGTGGAACTATCATATAGGATGGAGTAGCAGCACACTGTTGATGTATCCAATTGTACTAAATAAAATAGCAGACTCATTCATTCACTCTCTGTCTGTCTGTCTCTCTCTCTCTCTCTATGCTCAACGGTCTTTCTCCCGTAGTCATTCTCTCGCTCGGTGTCTCTCTGGATGCCTTACGCACGCTCTCCCTCTCTCTCTGCTACAGTCACACTGCCTCCTCCTCTCTGCTCTCTCTCTCTCTCTCTCTCTCTCTCTGGGTGCAGGGTGGGCGTTGCGCTTTGTCTCGGGGTGCAGGTATTGGTGGTGTGTGGAGCAGAAGCAGGCAGCAGTCCCCTCGTGCTGCCCGTGTGGAGCAGCAGCAGCAGGCAGTAGTCCCTCGTGTTGGCCGTGTCTCCAACACCTCCACACTGCACCTCCTGGTCTGACCTCTTCACTCGCCCTCACTTCCTGAACGATAATAGTGCCTCAATCCAACCCGCGCATGGCCGCATGCGTCAATACGTTTTGATTACCATGAATGCCTAAGTGAACAAAAGATATACTCGTACTTCTCAATCATATCTTGAGGTTCATGAACCGAAAATAAAAAATACTTTAAACGTTCTCTTCGGTTTTTCTTCACAAAACTGTGTTGGGGTAACACTGCGTGTTGATGCAGAGATCACGTGGTGTTCGCCAGGTACTGTGTGCTCCGCGCAGTGCTGATACGTCAAAGAACGTGGCTAATCGCGACGTATGATGCAGGAGATAGGTGTTATTAGTCTGACAGGTGGGGCGGATGGTCACACTCATGAACCCAGGTGAGTTAGCCTCTATCATCACGCTAAGTCACAGTTGTAAAGTATTTGTGTGTGTGTGAAGACTTATGTAGCTCTCCACTGGGTACATAACTTTAGAAGTGTTGCAGCCTTGGTGTGCTGCTTGTGACTTAAAACACATATTTGATATCTATATGTACACACCTCACATATTTTGCAAAAAAAAAAGTTTCGTCTTGAAGTTTTAAAATGGCGTTGTCTTTCGTGGCTAAATCATTTAGAGTATTTCTCGGTGAAGGAAGTGTAAACTTAACAGTAAGACTATTGAGTACCGTTCCTTCACTAACTAAACAGTAAGACTGTTGAGTACTGCTCCTTCACTAACCAAACAGTAAGACTGTTGAGTACTGCTCCTTCATTAACTAAACAGTAAGTCTGCTGAGTAGTGCTCCTTCACTAACCAAACAGTAAGACTGTTGAGTACTGCTCCTTCACTAACTAAACATTAAGACTGTTGAGTACTGCTCCTTCACTAACCGAACAGTAAGACTGTTGAGTACTGCTCCTTCACTAACTAAACAGTAAGACTTGAGTACTGCTCCTTCACTAACTAAACATTAAGACTGTTGAGTACTGCTCCTTCACTAACCGAACAGTAAGACTGTTGAGTACTGCTCCTTCACTAACTAAACAGTAAGACTTGAGTACTGCTCCTTCACTAACTAAACATTAAGACTGTTGAGTACTGCTCCTTCACTAACCGAACAGTAAGACTGTTGAGTACTGCTCCTTCACTAACTTAACTAAGACTGTTGAGTACTGCTCCTTCACTAACTAAACATTAAGACTGTTGAGTACTGCTCCTTCACTAACCGAACAGTAAGACTGTTGAGTACTGCTCCTTCACTAACTAACTAAGACTTTGAGTACTGCTCCTTCACTAACTAAACATTAAGACTTGAGTACTGCTCCTTCACTAACCGAACAGTAAGACTGTTGAGTACTGCTCCTTCACTAACTTAACTAAGACTGTTGAGTACTGCTCCTTCACTAACTAAACATTAAGACTTGAGTACTGCTCCTTCACTAATTGAACAGTAAGACTGTTGAGTACTGCTCCTTCACTAACTTAACTAAGACTGTTGAGTACTGCTCCTTCACTAACTTAACTAAGACTGTTGAGTACTGCTCCTTCACTAACTAAACAGAAAAACTGTTGAGTACTGCTCCTTCACTAGCCAAACAGTATGACTGTTGAGTACTGCTCCTTCACTAACTAAACAGTAAGTCTGTTGAGTACTGCTTCTTCACTAACTAAACAGTAAGACTGTTGAGTACTGCTCCTTCACTAACCAAACAGTAAGACTGTTGAGTACTGCTCCTTCACTAACCAAACAGTAAGACTGTTGAGTACTGCTCCTTCACTAACTAAACAGTAAGACTGTTGAGTACTGATCCTTCACTAACCAAACAGTAAGACTGTTGAGTACTGCTCCTTCACTAATTGAACAGTAAGACTGTTGAGTACTGCTCCTTCACTAACTTAACTAAGACTGTTGAGTACTGCTCCTTCAGTAACTTAACAGTATGACTGTTGAGTACTGCTTCTTCACTAACTTAACTAAGACTGTTGAGTACTGCTCCTTCAGTAACTTAACAGTATGACTGTTGAGTACTGCTTCTTCACTAACTTAACTAAGACTGTTGAGTACTGCTCCTCCAGTAACTTAACAGTATGACTGTTGAGTACTGCTTCTTCACTAACTTAACTAAGACTGTCGAGTACTGCTCCTTCAGTAACTTAACAGTATGACTGTTGAGTACTGCGTCTTCACTAACTTAACTAAGACTGTCGAGTACTGCTCCTTCAGTAACTTAACAGTATGACTGTTGAGTACTGCGTCTTCACTAACTTAACTAAGACTGTCGAGTACTGCTCCTTCACTAATTGAACAGTAAGACTGTTAAGTACTGTTCTTTCATTACATTATCACAAACACCTTGACACACTGTGTCCTCCGTTAGTCCGGGCTTTGTCTATCATTACTGTAACAGTGTGTTTTGTGACAAAAATACACACTGTTACAGTATCAAACAATCTCACAATATCAAGCACCATGTTACAGTATAACACAGTGTTACAGTACCACGCACATTGTTACAGATTACACAGTACTACACAGTTCAACAGTATCACACACAGCGTTACATTGTGACAAACAGGGTTACAGTATCAGTGTTAAAGAATCATACACAGTGTTACACTATCACACAGCGTTACGTTGTCATAAACAGGGTTACACTATCAGTGTTACAGAATCATGCACAGTGTTACAGTACCATGCACCATGTTACTAACAAGATCACTTGTAATTTACCAGGATAATCTCTGACGTTGTACATATGTTTCTAGCATTTATATAAGCAGTACTTGTGTTCATTTAGTTTGAGCTTGCTGTGGTCGAGACCTAGCTCCTGGTCCTGCCTCTTAACATTTTCTAACATCCGTCACGTCTAAACTGGTGATTAACAGTTAACACTGAAGAAACCTCTTGTGAGCGAAACCTAACCTCACTGTCAGATATGTGTCCTCACGCCAGTCAGATATGTGTCCTCACGCCAGTCAGATATGTGTCCTCACGCCAGTCAGATATGTTACTGGAAAACACAAGTAACAACAGTTAATCAGACATGGAACTGGAAAACATAAGTAACAACAGTCAATCAGATATGGAACTGGAAAGCACAAGCAACAACAACAACAGTCAATCAGATAAAGGTTTGGAAAACAGAGGTTAACAACAGCAGCCAAATTAACAGTGATCTGTTGTAAGGTTTTCTAACCTTGAGAAACAATAGTTCACGTTAGGATATTGTTTTGCTGAAACAAATGAGTCTTTGTGTGACACCGTTGATGTCCGGGTAGTGTTGTCAACACTGTTGATGACCGTGTAGTGTTGTCAACACTGTTGATGACCGTGTAGTGTTGTCAACACTGTTGATGACCGTGTAGTGTTGTCAACAATGTTGATGACCGTGTAGTGTTGTCAACAATGTTGATGACCGTGTAGTGTTGTCAACACTGTTGATGACCGTGTAGTGTTGTCAACACTGTTGATGACCGTGTAGTGTTGTCAACACTGTTGATGACCGTGTAGTGTTGTCAACACTGTTGATGACCGTGTAGTGTTGTCAACACTGTTGATGACCGTGTAGTAGTGTCAACACTGTTGATGATCGTGTAGTGTTTTTCAACACTGTTGATGACCGTGTAGTGTTGTCAACACTGTTGATGACCGTGTAGTAGTGTCAACACTGTTGATGATCGTGTAGTGTTGTCAACACTGTTGATGACCGTGTAGTGTTGTCAACACTGTTGATGACCGTGTAGTGTTGTCAACATGTTGATGACCGTGTAGTGTTGTCAACACTGTTGATGACCGTGTAGTGTTGTCAACACTGTTGATGACCGTGTAGTGCTGTCAACACTGTTGATGACCGTGTAGTAGTGTCAACACTGTTGATGATCGTGTAGTGTTGTCAACACTGTTGATGACCGTGTAGTGTTGTCAACACTGTTGATGACCGTGTAGTGTTGTCAACACTGTTGATGACCGTGTAGTGTTGTCAACAATGTTGATGACCGTGTAGTGTTGTCAACACTGTTGATGACCGTGTAGTGTTGTCAACACTGTTGATGACCGTGTAGTGTTGTCAACACTGTTGATGACCGTGTAGTGTTGTCAACAATGTTGATGACCGTGTAGTGTTGTCAACACTGTTGATGACCGTGTAGTGTTGTCAACACTGTTGATGACCGTGTAGTGTTGTCAACAATGTTGATGACCGTGTAGTGTTGTCAGCACTGTTGATAACCGTGTAGTAGTGTCAACACTGTTGATGACCGTGTAGTGTTGTCAACAATGTTGATGATCGTGTAGTGTTGTCAACAATGTTGATGACCGTGTAGTGTTGTCAACAATGTTGATGACCGTGTAGTAGTGTCAACACTGTTGATGATCGTGTAGTGTTGTCAACAATGTTGATGACCGTGTAGTGTTGTCAACAATGTTGATGACCGTGTAGTAGTGTCAACAATGTTGATGACCGTGTAGTGTTGTCAACAATGTTGATGACCGTGTAGTGTTGTCAACAATGTTGATGACCGTGTAGTGTTGTCAACACTGTTGATGACCGTGTAGTGTTGTCAACAATGTTGATGATCGTGTAGTGTTGTCAACACTGTTGATGATCGTGTAGTGTTGTCAACAATGTTGATGATCGTGTAGTGTTGTCAACACTGTTGATGACCGTGTAGTAGTGTCAACACTGTTGATGACCGTGCAGTAGTGTCAACACTGCTGATGACCGTGTAGTGTTGTCAACACTGTTGATGGCCGTGTAGTGTTGTCAACACTGTTGATGACAGTGTAGTGTTGTCAACACTGTTTATGACCGGGTAGTGTTGATGACCGTGTAGTGTTGTCAACAATGTTGACGACCGTGTAGTGTTGTCAACACCGTTGATGACCGTGTAGTGTTGTCAACACTGTTGATGACCGTGTAGTGTTGTCAACACTGTTGATGGCCGTGTAGTGTTCTCAACAATGTTGATGACCGGGTAGTGTTGTCAACACTGTTGATGACAGTGTAGTGTTGTC